TGTGTTCGTAACATATGCTATAAGACGACGCTAAAACAATGCTTAACTCCTAATTGCTCCACTTCTAAACAATAACCTCCGGTGGCTCACTATAATGGTTAAAAAAAAACTCCGCTCCCGCTTGTTATAGCTGCTTACACAGTTAAGATCGCCTACGTCTGCGAACAGACTGTGAAGCTGGGTGCGAATGAATGGAATTGGATGATGGATGGAGATGCGCATGGATGGATGGAATGGAGGATGGATGGTGGATGGATGGATGGTATGTGGCAATGGGGATGGAATGGATGGGCCATGAATGGATGGATGGCATGATGGATGGACTGTTATGAATGGGATGGCATGGTCATGGATGGATAAATGGCATGCGATGGATGTAAATAGAATAGAACAGAATGGATGGATGGATGGATGGATGGAATGGATGGATGGATGGGGGAGGAAGGATGGCATGATGGCATGGTATAGGATTGATGGATGAATGGTATGGTATGGATGGATGGATGGACTGGTGGATGGATGGATGACGGACGAGACGACGGACGGACGGACGGACGGCGGACGGACGGACGACGGACGGACGGACACGACGAGACGACGGCATGATGGATCGGATGGATGGCATGGATGGATGAATGGATGGATGATGAATGGATGGATGGATGAATGAATGGAATGAATAGCTGGTATGGATCATGGATGAGATGCTGGATGGATGAATGGATGGATAGATGACATGGAATGGATGCGATGGATGGATGAATGGAATGGGATGGATGGAATGGCATGATGGATGGATGGATGGATGGAACATGGATGGATGATGGATCGATGGATGAATGGTATGAGGATAGGATGGATGGATGAAAAACGCGGATGGATGGATGAATGGATGGATAGATAGATGAATGAATGAATGAATCAAAGAATCAATGAATGACCTAAATGAATGAATGAATGAATGAATAAGCTCCTTGTTGAAACCAATTTGCGAATTTCGAAACCAACGTCTTAAACCTAACATTGCGCATTCACGCACATGGAGCGATAACTCTAGCCGAGGTTAGGGTTCGTATTCTGCAATCAATCCGCCCAGAACCAAAGGGCAGAGTACTAGATATAGGGAACGACTACACCTACGCCTAGTCAGCCAATTCACAGAACCTAAATCCTTTACATTCATGGCTCCAACCATTTAACATTGCACAGTCAACTATATGTTCCTACTTGTCCCTGTCTGTTTACCAGTATCGGGGCACGTTTAATAAACTGTTTCGCACGTTCTGCGGACAATGTATCAGTTGATCTCACGTTTAAACCAGATGTGAGTGTTCGTAAACATATGCCTATAGACGACGCTAAAACAATGCTACTCCTAATTGGCTCCACTTCTAAACAATAACCCGTGGCCCTCACATATGCTAAAACAAAAAAAACTCCGCTCCCGCTTGTATAGACTGTTACACAGTTAAGATCGCTACGTCTGCGAACCAGATGTGACAGCTGGGTGGATGAATGGATGGATGGATGGATGGATGGATGGATGGATGGATGGATGGATGGATGGATGATGGATGATGATGGAAAATGGATGGCATGGATGGATGGATGGATGGATGATGGCATGGATGGATGGATGGATGTAATGGCATGAATGAATGGATAGATGGATGGATGGAGGATGCGCATAAATGGATGGATGATGGGATGGATGGATCATGGTAATGAGATGGGATGGATGGATGAGATGGATGCGATGGATGGAATGGATGGATGGGATTGATGATGAATGGATGGATGGTATGGATGGATGGGACCGAACGGGACGGACGACGGACGGAAACGGCGGACGACGACGGACGGACGGACGGACGCGAACGGACGGACGGACGGCACGGACCGACGGATGGATGGATGATGGATGATGGCAATGATGGATGGTAATGGATGATGGATGGATGATTGATTGGATGGAGGATGGAATGGCATGGCATGGATGAATAGCTGGAATGGCATGGAATGGATGGCGATGAGAATGGATGGATAGCATGGAATCGGATGGATATGGATGGATGGATGGATGGATGCGATGGATTGATGGCATGGAATGATGGACTGGATGATAGATGGCCATGGTTGAATGGATGGATGGATATGATGGATGGATGTCATGATGGATGTCATGGCAGGATGATGGATGGGATGATGGATGAGATGGATGGTTGCGATGGATGATAGGATGATGGTATGATGCGATGGTATGGATGGTATGGATGGATGAGATGGATCGATTGGATGGATGAAATGAATGGATGGATGGATAGATAGTATGGAGGATAGATGGATGAGTATGGATGGATGGATGGATGATGCAGATGATGAATGGGATGGATGGGAATGGGGGATGGATGGATGGATGGAGGATGGATGATGGATGGGATGATGAGGATGCGATGATGATGAGATGAGGATGGATGGATGGATGGATGATGGATGGATGGAGGTCATGCGATGGAATGATGGATGGAGGGATTGGATGGATGGCATGATGGATGGCATGGATGGATGGATGGAATGACTGATGGAGGATGGTATGGATGGAATGGTATGCGGATGATGGAATGGATGGAAGGATAGCATCTCATGGACTCGACTCTCTGCATGGCACGTGGGGATGGGTGAGCGGGCATGCGTGCGCGTTTGTGTGCTGCGAAAGAAGAAAGAGAAGGCCAAACAGTACAGAGCTTTATAAAGGAAAGAAAAAGGCGCGAGCACGCGGAAGAGTCAATGAAACGGGTAAATTGCGCCACAGAGAACACACACGTACGAGAGAGCTACATGTGATGCAGAGATTGAGAGGGAAAAAACGACTATGAGGTTCTGATTCGTACAGAAAGCGCGTGCGCACACAATTACTGAAAAACCCACATAGATGGTTACTCGCAAGCTGTAATCACAAATCAACAAACTCCCAAAGGCATACCGCAAAATAGCGTAAGCGCAATCAGCGTTCCAAGAGCAACATCTATGAAAGATTTAAGACGTTGGACAAGAGCTGCGACGTGAGCGAGAACAATGGGGAAGAAGCGCGAGATATTAAAGAGCAAGAAGAAGAGCAGAGAGCACGCACATGAGAAGAAAGAGGTAACGCGCGACGCGCACGCGAGTAGGAAAGAAGAACACATCGATAAAGATTAAAAGATAATTAAAAGATAAAGCGAAAGGAGCGAACGCATACAGAAGAGAGAGAGAGAGGAGAGAGAGAGAGACGAGGAAGGAGAGACGTAAGAGAGGAGAGCGAGGCAGAGAGACAGAGAAGCGAGAGAAGAATGAAAGGATGAAAGAGGCAACAGAGCGGCGCGACGAGAGAGAGGGAAGAGGAACTGAGAGGAGTTTAAAGAGGAGGAGAGCGCAAGGCGAAAGAGTGAAAACAGAGAGAGGGAGGAGATGAGAGAGCACGTGAACACCAAATATGCCCCGTTATAACATCTTCTAATTACCTCATGAAACTAGTGAAAACAAGCAGCCAGAATTTAGCCCTTATAACATCTTCTAATTCACCATGAAACTATGTTGAAAACAGCAGCAGATCTAGCCCTTTGTAACATCTTCTTTAATTACTCATTGACTAGTGAAAAGCAGCAGCAGAATTTGCCCCTTATAACATCTTTCTTAATTACGTACGGGTATGGAAACCTAGTGAAACCAGCAGCCAGAATTGAGCCCCTTTATAACATCTTCTAATTATACTCATGAAACTAGTGAAAACAGCAGCAGAATTAGCCCCTTGTAACATCTTCTAATTACTCATGAAACTAGTGAAAACAGCAGCAGAATTAGCCCCTTGTAACATCTTCTAATTACTCATGAAACTAGTGAAAACAGCAGCAGAATTAGCCCCTTATAACATCTACTAATTACTTATGAAAACTACTGATGTAAGGTCATAAATAAATAGTAGAATCATTCACCTGCATGGTTTGGAAGTGGTGGTATGAACATTTTCCAGCTCGTTTCTGCTACATAGACTTTCCTTCCATCACTCGCTTGGTCTAATAAACACAGAAAATCGTGTCGCCAACAAAATCACGACAATACATAAACAATAAACAAATTTAAATATAATGAAAAAATTATCAAAAGAATATCAAGAAAATAACATCCATACTTGTCTCACTGCTCGACTCCCAGGCATTTGTTTTGTTTGATGGATGGTAGATGGCGCCAGGACCACCGTTTTCGTCGACAATGCCCTCGTATCCGTAGACGAGATAGAAGAGTAGGTTGTGCATTAGCTGCTGTCTAACCATCTTTGGTGCGAGGCCATATTCACGCGCCGCGGACTGTGAGACACACACACATCACACTGAGACAATATACACACATACGCAGGCACGCACGCACGCATACAGGCACGCACACATGCACGCACGCACGCACGCATGCACACGTGTGTATGCAGGCACGCACGCACGCACGCATTCATGCTTTAGGAGATTCCATAATGCTACTGCTTCTTTCTGTCTAGTCATCCCAATGATACCTCCAGCAACCTTAGCGGGTTTATTGTAACACTTCTTGAGTGCCATGTCAAATCCTACTGCACTGCCTTGTCGGAGAGTGTGGTACATCACCCATCCACCATCTGTAAAGCATCTGTAGATACCCGGGAACATCCTTTGTATGTCCAGGCAATCTTCAAGGAACAGCGTACCCCATCTGCTATAGTTTGTCCGGCCAAACCCGAAGAACAAAGGCATGCACCTCTGCACAGCTGAAACGAAAAGATGCCAATCGCCTTGCCGAATAGAGTGTGTAAGATCTCTCAGGATAGGATACAGCTCATCCCGCGGAACTGCGCGTCTCATCCGCGCGCAGCGCTTAGAATCAACAGCAAAGCTGTGCCACGCAATCTTGTATCATGTCTCTCTGGACTCTTCAGGAATCAAGTAATTGAACAATAGGAACAGGAACAATTACGAATAATTGTAGTGCGTAACATGCTGAAATCCATTGACTTTTGGATATGAAAATGTATTACTGACCCCCCATAATGTGGCCATTGCGCACATTTTGAGTGGTCGGGCAACCTCCTAGGTCCAACGGTTCTGTAGATACAGTCACGGTGGATGGTAGCACTTCGCTCGAAAAGGGCGTGGCCCAAAAAGCTATTTCGCCGTCAGTGGGAAATGTGTTACGAACCAAATATTGTTCCTGGACCTTCAATTAGTGGATGCATGAAGAGTTTAGTTCTGGACATAAATTGCATACAAAACTACCATGAGCTACTCTAGTATATCGAATTTCCACATTCCTACGTCTATAATTCCCTGTCACAGCAACGCTTTTTCACAGAGCAGCTTCAAAAGAGCAGACATACTTCTTAAACATCGTAATAACCGCTATTTACACTTCATGGTCCATGTTAAAAACATGCTCTTTGCCGAGGTGAACAACTGCCTGCACTCATTATCATACACTGCAACATGTGTTAGGTTGGTAGCCGTCTGCTTCGAAAAGGCTGTAAAACAGGGCTGCGAAGTGGATGTGCGACATTGTACATCAGCAGCAGCGGCAGCACCAGCACCAGCAGCAGCAGAAGCAGTGACAGCAGCAACAACAACACAAAGACGCACGCACACCCGCATGCATGTACCCAGGCATGCCCGGCACACGCACGTACGTACGCACACGTGTCTGTGACTTACCGAGACTGGCTACATCCTTCATGTCCTCGAGCTCATCTTCATCCTTATCGTCGCCGTACTTGTATCTCTGTGTCAGCTGCAGGACACGCACCATGCGCTCCTTGCCACTGCGATACTTCGACTGCAACCCAAAACACCGCGGCCATCAGAAATACCTCATCGTAATGGTAGCAACAAGCGCCTTCCCCTGAAAATTCACTTTTTCGAAAAATTCATACAACATGAACAACTTTAAGGAACAATGTCGTGGGTAAAGTTTTTTCAAAAATTATAACAATCGACTATGACACTGTATGACCTCTGGTTGAATTTTGTTCGCAACCTTTCAACGATTGATTATGCCTACGAGAGTCCAAGGCGTGAGCGTTTATAACGGTGAACCGTGAACTGAAGTCGAAATTGCAAGGAGAAACTGGAAGTCACACTGCAACTGCACCATGCAACAGACAAACTGCAGAGCAATGGGCCGTACTTACATCAGGGCCTGAGTCATCATAAACCTCACTGTAAGTCCTATTCTCAGTTCTGAGAAACTGAGGATAGGAGTTCACGACCTTTTTGAATGCATCCTCTTTCAAGCCCTGCAATGTTTAGTTAAAAGTTCACCAATTACATTTTGTTAAACAATTAATTGGAGAGTTAGCAATCTCATCTTCTGTTAGTTGCAAGAATGCACCACGACTGACTACATTAGCCCAATTATAAATCTAAATCAAATGCAGAAAACATCAGAAATTTGATTCCAAATAATCAAATAAACAAAATGTGAAAACTGCTATTACTCTAGTAGCTCATGGTGGTTTTGTATGCAATTTATGTCCAGAACTAAACTCTTCAAGAATCCACTAATTGAAGGTCCATGAACAATACTTGGTTGGTAACACATTTCCCACTGACGGCGAAATAGCTTTTTGGGCCACGCCCTTTTCGAGCGAAGTACTACCATCCACCGTGACTGTATCTACAGAACCGTTGGACCTAGGAGGTTGCGTGACCACTCAAAATGTGCGCAATGGCCACATTATGGGGGGTCAGTAATATAATTTCATATCCCAAAGTCAATGGTTTTTAAGATAATTGCCAAAAACCGATTTCAGCATGTTACGCACTACAATTATTCGTAATTGTTCATGCTATTTGGATTTCTACACTTTTTGCCTTTACTACAGCCACAAAACGTCACACCTTTTATGTTCCTTTCTCTGCAAGTGCACGTTTTGGTACTCATACATGATGTTGGGCATTTGCATGGAGGGGGCAGGTCATCGGGCCTGCACGATACTGGCAGTATCACTGATGTTATGCCAACATCCGTTGATTCATATCCATACTAGAGTGGATCTGGTTTGATGACTGCAGGAGTTGGGGCTTGCAACCACATCTTACACTGCAGATATGCTCGCTTTATGTGTTCTCGTAGCGTTGATGAACAGCACACAAGCTGGTTGAAGTCCAGTTCTTTCTTGGAGTTGTGGTACTGCTCCCATCGATATTCATCGAAAGTGGAACAGTCTGTCTTCTTTAATCCAGACACAAGGAACTTTTCAGCATTGCTTGTTATCTGTGGTGACAGTTCTTCTACACCAAACCCTTCCAGTAGGGAGAGATCCATGGATGCTTTCAGGCCAGACAGCTTTGGACTCACCTTGCTGGTACTGTCGCAACCAACCGATGTGTAGCGCAGTGTCCCCACTACCGTAGCGCTTAGAACGAAATGGTGTAGCGAGTGTCACGTTGCAGTGGCAATGTAAACGACGCATTACTGCTGTGCACGAGCGCGTTGGCGTTAAGAACGATCGTGTAGCGCGTGTACACTGTATGCATTGGCATGTAAAGAACGACGCGTAGCAACACTGTCACGACGCCGGTCGGCGTTTATAACGAAGTGTCACGAGTGTCAGCGCGCCGTTGGCGTTTAGAAACGACGCGTAGCGCTGTGTCACGCTGCTTGGCGGTTTATAAACGGCGCGTTAGCGTTTATAACGATCCGTCCGACGCACTCGTCTTCAATGGTGTCCTCGCAGCCGCTAGCAACCATGTCGCAGCGCTGGACGGGGCAGCAGGGCCCCAGCGGCAAGTCTGGTGCACCTGAAGCGATTCTACGTCGAGCGTCGGCACGAAGAACGCGGTACTGATGAGCGCATCGCTGGGAGTCCTGGAAGGCGGCTCCTCACCACTTCAACAGTCCCTGCTCGCCGTCCGCAAAGAACATAGCGAGTACCACCTGCTGGTCGCTGTCACTGCTGCTGCTTGGCGTGCTCGCAGTGCTGTTTGTTTGTTGCTCGCTGGTGTTGGCTGGCTGCTCGCGTGTTGTTTGTTGCTGCCTGCACCCTGACTGCTAGCCTGCTGCTTGGCTGCCTCGCTCGCTGCTGCATGCTGTCAGTGCCTGTTTGTTGCTGCTGGTTTGCTGCTGCTGCGCTAGTTGTGTTGCTGCTGTCACATCGCTCTGCTGCATGCTGGTGCTGGCTCTGCCGACGCTGCTGATGTACAATTCGACATACCCACTTCGCAGCGCCCTGTTTTACAGCCTTTCGAAGCAGACGCTACCCAAATCCTCAACACATTCGCAGTGTAGTGATAATGAGTGCAGGCAGTTGTTCACCACGTCGGCAAACGAGCATGTTTTATTAACATGGACACATGACAACGTGTAAAAGCGGTTATTACGATGTTTAAGAAGTACGTTCTGCTCTTTGAAAGCTGCTCTGTGAAAAACCGTTGCCTGTATAGGCGAATTATACGACGTAGGAATGGGAAATTCGAATATACTAGAGTAGCTCATGTGTACTTGTATGCAAATTTAATGTCCAGAACTAAACTCTTCAGAATCGCACAAATCGAAGGTGCCAGGAACAATACTTTGGTTCATAACACATTTCCCAGCTGACGCGCAAATAAGACTTTTTTGGGCCACGCCCTTTCGAAGCTGTAAGTGCTACCATCCACTCCGTGAACTGTACTCACAGAACCGGGGAGCTAAGGAGGTTGCACGCGACCGCACTCAAAATGTGCGCAATGCGCCACATTATGGGGGCTCATAATGACATTTCATATCCAAAAGCAATGGTTTTTTAAGATAATTGCCAAAAACCGATTTCACATGTTACGCACTTACAAATTATCTCGTAAATTGTTCGCTGCCTACTGATTCAAATTACTTGATTCCTAGATCAGAAGAGACATGATAACAAGATGCGTGCGCACAGATGCTTTGATCCTAAACGCTCGCGCGCGGATGAAACGCGCCAGTTCCGGCGGGATGACTGTATCCATATTCCTGAGAGATCTTACACACTCTATTCGCAAGGCGATGGCATCTTTTCGTTTCAAGACATGTGCCAGAGGTGCATGCCATTTGTTCTTCCGGTTGGCCCGGACAAACATCAGCGAGATGGGGTACTGGCTCGTGTCCTTAGCAAGATTGCCGTGGCACATAAAAAAAAAAAAACAAAGGATGTTCCCGGGTATCTACAGATGCTTTACAGAGGTGGATGGTGATGTACCACACTCCCGTACAAAGGCAGTGCAAGTAGGATTTGACACGGCAGGCTCAAAGAGTGTTACAATAAACCCGCTAAGGTTGCTGGGGGTAGCATTGGATGAACTAGACAGAAAGAAGCAGTAGCATTATGGAGAATCTCCTAAAGCATGAGAAAAGATCTTCATGTGGCACAGGCGGCTGGAAATGGTAACTGGGAGACTAAAGATGACAGTGAAAGCTGAGCCTACACGCATGAGTCAATGCAAAGTCCTACGAAGATTGTCCATGTCGTGCGAATGACGCTTCGGGATTACATAAATATGTCCATACACAATCGTTCGGCACGCTGGAGATCGAGACTTCAAGATACATTCCTCTACTGGAGCTGACATAACCCCAGGAGTTGTTGACGATTACTAGCCACGTGGAAATGGTGAGAAGAGTATCCAAGACTGATATTGAAGAACCTGATTTACAGCGATAAGGAGAATGCACGGCGTGAGCAGAGGAGCAGATCCCGACCGCAACCGCAAGACTGTTTTCGTGAATAGTACTTCTACTGTCCTCACAGCGAAGAAATCTATGGCGAAAAAGGGATGCTGCAGAAACGATTAGTACATTGACTATGCTAGAGAAAAAGGGTACAGCATGCTGAGACTCCTGAAGTATGAATCGACCAGCACATCCCATTCCTCACTACTTGAATGTAAAGATGGCATCAAATTGAAGAAGCCCGATAAAGCCTCTTAACCAGAGGACCTTGTCAAAAACTTCCCCAGGAGACAAGGAATGTAGAAGAGTGACGCACAAATGACAATATGTGACTCAAATGGACCGATGAAAAAGATGGCCTTCACACATTCGCGGAATGGCTGAGAGTCTTCCAAACAGCATTCTTGCTACAGGCTCCGAGTCCACAAGAAATGACATTATTTTGATGTTTATCAAAAATCATCAATCAAGCAAATGAAGCGGGCGCAGAGAATTTTCTATGCAGACAAATCACTATCACCATTAGGTCTGACAATCAGAAACTCCCTGTCGATCTTGATATGTCTGGAGCCTCAATGTTGAACAAAGTTGGTTGCAGGAGTATGTCTTCAAGTGGAGCTGCAGAATGTCGAGTCAGACAAGGAGATCTTCTTTGGAGGAGTATATGGGGGTGAATGCAGATAATTGTAAGCTGGCACTGAAACACAGATCGCAAGAGCTCTCAAGCAACCAACGAAGAAGAAGCTGACGACAGAAATCATGTCTCATATTAATGATGGTGTTGCTGAAACACGGGGTTCAATCAGTCTCGGTTGACTCACTGACACAGATGTCTTTGTCAACCTCATCTTCCACTTCAACAAAACCTGCAACTACAAAAGCTGTACGTGAAGCTGTGGTAACCGGAAACAAAGAAAACTGTACCAGTCCACCTGTTCGTTGATCAAACTGGACAACGGTTTGCGCGTGTCTGGCCCCAGCCATCATCATGCTCTCAGCGGTTGCGACAGTACCCAGCAAGGTGGAGCTCCAAGCTGTCTGGCCTGAAAGCATCCATGCGATCTCTCCCTACTGGAAGGGTTTGTGTAGAAGAACTGTCACCACAGATAAACAAGCAATGCTGAAAAGTTCCTTGGTCTGGTTTAAAGAAGACAGACTTCTACTTCATGAATATCGATGAGCAGTAACGG